GTCATGTTTTCAATATGCGCGTGCACAAGCGCGCGCTAATGACGCCATAAATTATGCGCAGTAAGGATGCGCAATGCAAATGTGAGGAATGATCTTAAGCTGTGTAGATCATATCAGAAGTTTGTCATTAGACTCAAATGTGGTGTGTGCATGTACGGTGTAATGGCGTTTAAACCCCGGGGAGGGGACCCCATATAAACAGGACGGGGATGCTCGTCGTACCTTCTAGGGGTTGAAAACGCAGTTTTGGTACCTCTTAGTGTGTTCAGCCTCAAAGGGTCGACAGTGGGAGTTGGTATGGGGCCGGAAAAATATGACAGGAGTTAAATGTGTTTTGTTTAGAATTGATACCTCTTAGTGGTGAGTAAAATGCGAGCCACGCCCATAAAGCAGGATCTTGGTACCTCGTAGGAGTTATTATTATTATTTTTTTTTTTGAAAATTTTCGAAGAGCATCCCCGTCATTTTTATATAGGAGTCCATGTATAGCCACCGGTGAGAAAAGCTCCTTAAAGACGAACGAGGAGTAAGACACCGTGCAGACGAATAAACTGTCTGCAGCGAGAATTTAAGTGCCCTCTGGGGTTTTGAGGAATAAGGCAACACAATAATTTGTTTCAAGGGGACAAGGGATAATTTTCTGGGATAAATTTGAGATAGCAAGGGTTATCTCTGCTAACTAAAGGGAAAATGCTAGGAAACTATGTAATTTATTTATAGGAACAAAGGGAAAAACGAGTGAACTTTTTAAGGGACCAAGTGAACATGCTAACCCTCTGGGAGTACTCCCTGGAAGTTCCTTTTATGTAGCACGCACACCAATTCGTGATTGCAGGATAGTTGGTCTTTGTTTGTCTATTGCCTTTCTCTCCGGGTCTCAAAGGGCAGGTATTTGAAAATAACTTTTTGGTGGATTACAATCGTAGCTAACGTGACACTTGCTCTGAATAAGTGAGGGTGAATAATTTTCTTACCTGTAACGCACGCCTGAGAGCAGTGAAATTTCTCGCCAGACGGGTTAATTCAGGACAAGCCTTGACGTCATCCCGAATAACAAGCACGCAATTAAAGATATCTCATAAATAAGTGAATAAACAATAGGTCTTATAAAGGTCTGTTATACACTAAGAAAACAATCGTGAACATCCCCTCTATACCTTTCAAAATCTACATAAGCCCACATGCAAGTTATGAACCTGGACAATGACAGAACAAAGGTTCTTTCACTGGGCAGGTAACTAATATATATGTAGGCTATACCGAGCTTCTATCCTTAGGTCAAAAGTGCGGGAGATGCGTTGACAAAAATGCGGGAGAGTGAGTGACTCAGGGCCATTTCATGATTTCCGGCCCTGGGTCACATGACGTCGTCATGTTTACACTCGATGAAAAGAAGTGGCAAGCAGGCGGCTTAAAGTGCATGAATAATGCATTGTTGTAACTTGCATTGCAGACAGAAATTTAACCCTTTCTATATATAGAAATTTAGCAGGGAAATGACAATAATCAGTGCCATCGTATCTCATGACAGTCATGCTTGTCGAAAACAGTCTCGTTCCTGCTTAAGATAAAACGAAGAAGAAGAAGAAGAAAAAAAGGATCAAATAAATGTTTAATGAAATGTTGTAAGACCTGTTCGAAAGTTCAATCATAAATGAAAAATAAATGAAGAAGCTTCGAGAAACTTGATTGAAAAACGAGACAGACGCCGGAATCATGCTCGAGCAAGTGGTCAGCAATAAGGCCTCAAATTGACCTTGTTTCAGGCGTGACGACAAACGAGAAAAACAAAAGGAAAAAAATAAATAAATAAAATGTACAACACATTAGCAGAGATAACAGGGAGTGCCCATTTCATGCCTGTGCATAAACGAAGGAAGGTATGACATAGCCTGAGCAGCAAATGCTTCTCCATAACTAGAAAATAAGTTGCTATTGCATGTGGAAGAGAAGTTATTTTTGAAGTAGTTAGTTATCCTTTACGCAGATTATTTGTTTGAAACATTACATTACGCCTTTCATGCATGAAAATCATCAGTATCTCCAAGAACGGGATGATTCTCCTACGAAGTAACAACTGTAGAAGTTTGGAACTGGCAAAGTTCACAGGGGCGAACAAGTACATGCATAATTTGTTCTCAGTGCGTTACTGATGAGAAAACTGAGTGTTTCACTGGCAAACAAGACTGGCGAGGATGGCAATTACGCAAACAAAATCATCATACTGTCCCACGATGCTGCAAACACTGGAGCGGAAAATATGCTAGAAATATACTGAAATAACAAAAATAGTCTAGGGGTTGTTTCGGCTCAGTTCTCAACGAAAATATACTACCGCTCCAAGCTAACAGAGATATTTTTTTTCCGTTTCTTTAAGATACCTGTTCGCATGAAGCACCATCAGAATATGGGCTCCTTCAAGATCCTTGTTTTAGTATTAACAATTGGTGCAAGTCAGAATTTCGTCGATGCATGTGGAGGTTGCGGACCTTGTAAGTATATCCTGGTTACTTTTTTTTTACGTTGATGCTATGTTGAACAGATATGTTATATACATTGGCAAGCAGAAGCAGAACGTCTCGTTCAGAATCTTTTAAATAATGAAAGCGTATCGACCGAATATGTTATAGTAGTGTAGTAGTATAGTAGTGCAGTTTTACTGTAATCGGATTCATTTAGCTGTAAAATCTTCTTTGGATAAGAAAGGGCTTGCAGTCAAGTTCCCCAGCAAGCTCAGTAGTTTCTCTGGTAAATTGAAAATTCGATCCATAAGGCAACAGGGGTATATGCAACGTATTTGAAGTTTCTTGCTCCGATTTAGGTTTTATCAAACTTCGTACTTTTCGAATTTCTTGCTTGATCTGTCCTTCAGTGATATTCAGTTTAGACAGGAGATCTCTTGGTTTAGATTGAACTTTGTACCTTTGTAAAAGATGCTGCACAGAATTTCTTTGTTCGAAATTCGCTTTCATTTTAACTCCATAAACAGAACTTAGCGTAAGTCACGTTTTCGACGCGACATGTCCAATCCGACTAAAAACAGGCGCCATAAAGGACCACCCAAAGGTCATAAGAACACTAAATGGTGCTATGCCGGTATTGCTCCGCACAGTAAAAGACTGGGAATCTTATCCTGCTCAAGGAAAGATATGCTCCAGAAATGCATCACCTGTCACTCACCCAACCCCTCTGGGAGGTACTCCCTTGTATAGGCCATGCAGGTATGTGCGGCGCCAGAGTATGCTTTTTTTTTAGCCGTTTTGGTCAGAAATAGCTACTGTCTTGGCCATTTCGCTCTCGATTAAGGTATGATTTTTTTCACTCTAGTCTTGAATTGGGTATGTTTTTCAGAAGAAGCCATCCTACTTAATTGAAGTATTATAACAATTGCCTTTGACATTTGTCTGAACTTGGGAACTTATCATAAGACAGGTCTACAACAGGGTATTGATTTAAGGATCAGATCTTAATCAAAGTGGCTATGAGGCACTCAACTTGAAAAATCAGTGATTGTCTGTAAACAGGGGCAATTTTGATGATGCCCCTGAACTGAATTTTTAATCCGTTGGTCAAACATTATTTACATATCGAGCTGGTAACGTAGACAAGACGAGTTCGAAGATTGTTAACATTCTCGAAAACAATGTTTTGACTATTACAATGCAAAAAGCTGTCCGTAACATGATGTATCGAACCAGAGACGCGATGAATGATGCTATAAAGCCCAATGGCATTGCTAAGAAACAGGAGTCCATGACTGAAACGCAACAGTATATACGGAGATGTGACACCGTATAAATTAAACATTCATCAAGTCATGCTAGCTCGGGACGTTACCACAAAGAAATTAAAGGGGCTAGGTCATGCTATTTTAGGTAATTTTGTTTAACTTTGTTAATTATGAGCTCTAAACGTCAAATTGGCAGAGCAAAAGTCTTTCATTTGCAAAATAACTGCGACGTAACAACTGAGAATGATTTTCCAGCTATATAAATGACATTTTGATATAAACTGATGTAAATTTGAAGCATAACGAGCCAGACGTTCTTAGCAACCAAAAAACAGACCTGGGATCCCGTGGAGATGTAGAACTTTTAGTCCTACATCTCCACGGGATATCCAGTGGCTTACAACATTCCAGTGTAATCATATCCCTGTCGGTGATCGTTTATGTTCCACAAAACGCGTCAAGTTTTGCACGAATGTGTCATAATCCTAAAGTGTGAAATTAAATTTACTGTAAGACAATTCCATCGTGTCAGAAAGATACAAAACATTTTACTAGTCGGCGATTCGGGAAATCGCGCGACTGACGTGAAGAATTTGGATTA